ATATATATATATATATATATATATATATATATATATTACAAATGAAAATGTACAAATTAATACGAATTAGCCACCAATTCACCAAAACGTACGCATTGCCTTTAGATTGTGTTGTCTATCTGGTACAACACAACTGCTCATTTGAAATTATTATTTATTTTATATAATTTAATTACTGTAAATTTAATAACTTTAACTATAATTTGATTAAATTAATAATAAAAAAAACATTTTTAAAGAGTAGCAAAGTAGGGGTGGGCGATATAACCAAAACAGAGTAATTTTATTTCATGGTAACATTATATGTCAAGATATATTGGGCTGCTGTCACTTTAAGACCTAATGCATAGATCCAATATATTGACATAGGTCTGATTTATTTCCAAACTGTTTACATTCACTTAACATAACTGTGTTTTACGTGAATATTCACCAAAACAGGCATTTTGATAGAATTTTGTGTATTTGCCAATTCAAGTGCAATAAGCTGTGAGAATCGCATGCTGTCTAAGAGAGTTTTTCAGTGTAAGTGTTTGTCTGTGTAAGTGTTCAGTATTTGTCTAAGACTAATTCTCACCATTCTTTTATTTTATCTTGAAATATATATTGACACAAAGCATAACCCCATATCTTACTGCATTACAAGACCTGTTTAGCTTTGTAGTTTAGCTTTAATTCATTAGCTAATATAACATTATCCCAATAGCCTTAACAGTTAATTGTCATGAAATGACCTCTATCTGAGGTCATGATTTTGATGTATGTTCTTTTAAATTACATTTGACGATCATCCAAGGTTTATCTGTGCTTAACCTTAATAGTAATTCAGTTATTGAGAGATAGCTGTATTCATATGCATGTGAAGGTGCTTTTAGCTGACGGTGAAGGCATTATAATTCAGTCACATGATCATCAAGGTTATGGCATCCTACAGGAGTAGGTGTATGTGTGTGTCTGTGTTTGTGGGTGTGTCTGTCTGTATGTGTTGTATGTGTGTGGTGTTTCAGTGAGAGCTGGAGGGGGTGGTGTTCTGCCTCACCGCCGGTCATCTGCCTCAATTCTCTATTATTAATTAGGTGACAGAGAAACTGACCTTGGTTACCTTGCATTTGTGTGACTGTGTGAAGGTTTGGTGAACACATCAGTGTGCATGTGCTGATATTTGTAATTATGAAAAATTATGAGCACATTGAAGTGTTTTCAGTCTTATAAAATTGGTTCAAACATGAAATTTGTGTCCATTTACATACATTTACTACCTCCCAGTATGTGCCCGGTGTGCATTTGTGTGTCAAATGTCTCATAGGGACCCATCCATCTCTGGTTACTTCAGTATCAGAATGTGACCCAATGCTTGACTTTCTGGGAGGGCCATTATATGCTATTCCTGCATATCAAATGCGTCCATATGCCAGCAGTGCCCTATTAATAAGTTATCAGCACAGGTTTCTAAATACATAAGTCATAAGTGATATGCTAAGCATACAGTACAATGCCAAATTATTATTTGTATATTCAATACAAGACGGATGGATAAACAAAGACTAAGGCCCAATCCCAATTCTACCACTTAGCCCTTCCCCTTAACCCCTACTCCTCTGTTTCACGGGTTCATGTGAAGGGGTAGGGGTGTCTCGATTCTCTTTTGGTTGGAGGGGTAGGGGTAAGGGGAAGGGCCAGATAGCCCTTCAAACAAAGATTTTTCGGGACCACACTTCAAACGAAGGGGTATGAATTATCTCAGTGTAAACCTGCTTCAGCGGCAACATGGCTGCCCTAGCGAACAAAAAGACACATAAATGTAAGCATTTTTGGCGTTAATAAAGATTTTAACGAAAAGTAATAATTTGTTTTATGTTACATTCAATCGTGAGTTCATATTTACGGTCATGTTACTCAAAGAAATGTTTGCAAAAAATCGCTAAAGTTTGCTAACGCATATCATTACAGACTGCACGATAGTGCCACAACATATTTTCATGTCTGATCAGGACGATAACCACCGTAGACATTGAGTGGGGCTAGTCCCCCCAGTAATTAGAAATCGCTAAACCCTTTTCTCAAATATTGCCAATGAGAGAGAGAGAGAGAGAGAGAGAGAGAGCAGCGTTTTTATCCTCTTGTTGCTGGAAAATATAATGTAGCGATTCAGTATTTAAACTGTTATTAATAAAAGTTGTGGGGCAGCGTTGACAAGTTTCTTTGCTCCTGGATGTGTGAGCTGCGCGATCTCTGATATATGCGTGTGTGTGTGTGCCAGTAAGCAGCTCATTAATATAGAATGGTAATTAAAGGCTCTAATGCACACCAGCACACCTGAATATAGAAATATTAAATTATTTAAATAACAGAAAAAATATTTTAAAAATTAAACTAAAACTGCCAGCAGGTGGCGGCAAGTCACTGATTTTATCACTGAATCATTCATTCAATTGATTCGTTCGAACGGCTGATTCATTCAGGAACGAAGTACGTGACTGTCTTTATGAATGGGTAATTGAATCATTGACTCACTAGATTCGTTTAAAAACTTAGTTCATTCATAAATGAATCACTGCTGTGTTTGAATGGAGATGCGCAGCGGCTCAGCTGTTACTTTGTTTGAAACTATTTTTGTTGACGAAATAGAGCAAAATAAGGCAATTGTGTTGTTGTCAGACAATATAATTCACTTAATATTAACTTCTTGTTTAATTGTATTAAATCAATATCACATTTGCAAACTCCCTTAATAATCATTAAAAGCTGTCACTCATCTTAGTTCATCGCGATCTCACAAAACTCCATTATAATCAACGAAGCTCCCTACACTGCACAATGAATATCTTATTTACACCCTGTCAACACTTTGTTATAATGAGAGGATACGTCTGTGATACATTACTCAACCGCTGCAGAAACACGTAAGTACGTTAGAACCTTTGAAGCTCCCTCAGCGCAAACACAAATATGCTGATCGTGTCAGTCGCACAGGTGCTCCTAAATATTATTTCATAGTCGCACGCAGTAGTTGCGACTGAAATGGTCGCACTGTAGAGCCCTGGTATGGTGACGTGTGACAGCATAGTATTGGTGTCCCAATTCTTAGGGGAATATTTTCACCCCTACCCCTTGACACTCCATTTCAAGGGACAAGGGGAAGGGGAAGGGGTATAAAATAGAATTGGGATTGGGCCTAAAAGAAGGATACCGAACAAACGAGATGGTTTAACATTTTATTGTTATTGCCAAAAGCAGCAATATCTCTATAACTGAATTACTATTAAGGTTAAACACAGATATACCTTGGATGATCGTCAAATGTAATTTAAAAGAACATACATCAAAATCATTACCTCAGATAGAGGTCAATACGTGACAATTAAAGGGATAGTTCACCCAAAAATGAAAATTACCCCATGATTTACTCACCCTCAAGCCATCCTAGGTGTATATGACATTCTTCTTTCAGACAAATACAATCGGAGTTATATTAAATAATGTCCAGGCTAATCCATGAAGCGAAGCGATGCGTTTGTGTAAGAAATATATCCATATTTACAACTTTATAAATCTTAATCTCTAGCTTCCGCTAGCTGTCGTACAAACGTTCACGAGAGAGTGGCGTCCAGCGGATGACGTAGGATGTAGGCGTAGCATAAGCTCCGGTGAGAATATGCTAGTCTCGCGAG